CCGTAAACCTCATTCTCAAGGTAATGTATTTATGTCTAGGGTTAATGTAACCTTCAGAGGTTCAATAAAGATCAAAGTCCATCATCGTAAAGTGAGAGGCGAGTGGAACTCGCTCTAAAAGAGCACTCCAAAGGAAATAGAATCCTTCTAAGTCCACGTCGTTTTTGGGTTACGATAAAAGTACGATTAAGGGTCACGTTAACTCTAGACTTAAATAACTATGAAAAACCGAAGTTGACCTAGAAATAACTTTGAAAATAGTTGGGTGAGATTTCTAGGGGCTTCCATACTATTTCCTCACTCTTTATAAAAGTATTATAATTGTAAGGAAACACATGAAATGTTTCAATCTTTGGGTGTAATTTCTGTAATGTGTAATTTTTTATTATTAGCGTTGGGATTGGGTTGCATCTATCCAATCTGAAGATCATATTCCACTTTGCCTATTTGTAACTATTGTCACAGAAAATAACAAGTATTTTTAATTAATAGTAATTTAACATCTCTAATGATGAACACTTTGTTTTAAGAAACATTCAAATATTTCCCTGCAATGTAGAGGTTCTCCTTTTTTTTTGCATTTCTGATTAGATCAATACGGTCTGGTATATGAATCAATCCCATTGGATTATGTACCGATACATGGAGGAGAGCCATACGTTGTTCACCTAAGTGTAAACAATTCTGTGTGACATTCAACTGTAACAACCCTTTTCACAAGTGTGGCTGAAACAGCCTGTTTGACAAGAAGAGTTCAGGTTAGGTTAGGTCCTAAGTGAGTGGGTCTATTCCGGCGTCATCACACAAGGGTTGCAACAAGATTTGGAATAATGAGTTCCTATCGTGCTCCTTACAATAAGTTTATGTCCTAGGAATATCATTTCAGCAAGGTCGAGTTTCCTCAAAAGAGTCATTGCCTAAGTCAAAGTTGACTGTTTTTGAGCATAATGAAAAATTTTCAGTACAAATCATGAATTTGTGTCAATATACAAGCCCAAGTATGATGTATGTGAAAGAACAGGCACCGATTTTATACAAACATTACTTTCCCACTCTAATCGATTATAAAAATGCAGCGATAAGTTGGAAAAGTTTTGTTTCGTATGGATTCATTCATAGGTCAATGTTATATAGTAAAATGTATAGGGTTCGTAGGATGGAGCAAGGCTCCATATCTCTGATCCCATAACATTTGAATTCATTTAAGAGAAAGCAATAATCAATTGATTCGGAGGTTTTTTTTGATATCAAAATATATCTCATTAGTTAATCACCTTTGTCAGTGAGACAAACTACATATTTAAGGGACTGATGTTTTCTGATGATTCACCAGCTAAAAATCATACTGGATTTTAACTATCTCACAGATTTTTCCCAGGCTATTCAGGTACTAAACCACAGGATGATTCAGATGATATATTTTTATGACTCTTTTCACCTCTTTACTATTAGTTGCTTTCAAAAAGAAAGAAAAATGAATCCTATCAAGGCTAATTTACTCTTTCATAATGCTAGGTGCAGATTGTTGGATGAATTCTTATTAATTTTCATGTAACATCTAGAGGCGTTGCGTACCTACGCTGTCATTATTTATTACAAATTGCCCTAATTTTTTTGACAGTGAACTTTTGGTACTTTTCATGAAAAAACCTAATTCCCACACGTTCTCCAAGTAAAAAAGTTACACTTCCTCAACAACGCTAATTGTGATCGTTTTCGAAATATTTACTTAAGTGAAGTTGCAGAGAACATTACAAAAACTAAGTATGTGGTGAATCTCGTCAAAATAAACAACTTTTTCCTATGAAATGTTTATCGAATTATCATTCGTTTTCGAGATACAAATTGTTGAAATTTTTCAAAACATGGTTGGTTTGTTATTTGAATCTTTTTTAATTTTCATGTAAACTCTAGAGGGCTCTGCGTACCTGTGCTGTCATTATTTATTTAAAATTTTTAAAAATTTTTTCATGAAAAGTACTAAAAGTTAGGACAATTTGAAATAAATAATGACAGCGTACCCTCTAGATGATACATGAACATTAATACGAAATTATGATTTTCCACGTCAAAAAAAACCCCGGGTACCAAATTTCGTGCAAATAACTTATTTTTTTGCAAAAGTTATTAAAAGTTATTTTTGAAAAATGAACCGTTCAGTTTCACACCTTGTATCTCCGAAACGAAGCATTTCTAGACACAAGTTTATATAGACTTTTTTTCTTAAAATGGTCTCAGGAATACGTCAGTTGAATACTTTAGAGTACTTATCTTATACCCTGTAGACACGTGATGAATTTGAAATTTCATTCAGAATTTTTCGAATATTAATTTCTAAAAATATGAGTTGCATAGTTTTTCCATACTAAAATACATGAATTCCTCACATGGAGATATATCTAAGTGAACTGAAAACAGATGTGACAAGTGTACAGTAGGTTTCCTTCATTTGAGGACAAATATATAACAATTATATCTTCTTTCAAGTTTATATTTTGCAGTTCTTCAAATGTACACTGGGATTATCTGGAATATATATTTTTATGACATTGTTTTTTTACAAAGTTAATAATGTTAATATGACTATTGTCGATAAAGAACTAACTTATGAGAATGTATGTTCTTATTGTATATCGATAACTTACCTCGATCGATAACAAAGGGCAGGTCCTCATTTATGTAGATGATTCAACAATTAACTGCTAGGCTATGTTAGGTTAGGTCCAAAGTGAATGGGTCTATTCGACCCTCCACCGTAACCTGCAAGGGTTTATTGTGGCTCACACCTATCCACACTCGACCAAATGAACCCAACTTCTTAACGAAGCCGATTAGTTTGTATGGTGAGTGGTCTTTCAGGTCAGACGGTAAGAGTACGGCTCTGCCGAATTCTAAAAACCTGTTTCGGTTCCCAGCGGGACAGGCACTAAGTATATGCTCTGCTGTTTCATCGTTAATGAGGTAGTCGGATAGTCAAGGTGCAAGATTCCCACCTTGATACCCGCGACAACCTTCTCATATGAGGGTTTTTGCACGTCAGCTACACCTGACGACGCCTTAGATTCAACCGTGCAGGGTTTTTCGCCTCTGGTTTTGGTGAATAATCACTTGAGCGTAAACGTTTGCTCATGGGGGGGTTTGTTTCTCCACCTGAGATAGATTCTGCATTCGCCGCTCAAGAATTTGGTGCAGGGCGGTTTCATAGGGTACCCCTCTCTTGAGGAGACGACTCAGTCGTTTCCTGGCTGCAGCACCAAACCTTTTTTTAGGGTCAGTTATTGGATCAGGAGTTGGAGAGTTGAGAAGCTCTCGCTCCTGATCTAATTTTACATGGAGGTCAGTTGGAGTCGTAAGCTCGACATCCATCTCCTCTGTAGACTCGCTCCTGATCTAAATTTACAGGGAGGTCAGTTGGAGTCGTAAACTCGACATCCATCTCCTCTGTAGACTCGCTCCTGATCTAAGTTTACAGGGAGGTCAGTTGGAGTCGTAAGCTCGACATCCATCTCCTCTGTAGACTCAGCGCTAGAAAGAATTTTTAAGTTTCCTCTGTCCATAAAAGTCCCACGATTAGCTTATGATTGAGCCATCGTTGGGATGCCGTTCAGTTAGGGAATAACAGAACCACAAGTGATTCTGTCATTCCCGTATCCAGCGGGGGTACGTGGAAGTAGGCATCCGATGGCCGGTTTGCTCAACCCCCAAGTACCAAGCCAATGCACTCGCCAAAAACAGCATGCACAGTGGTTCAGGCAGTGAAAGACAGCCATTTTGACAATTAACTGCTAACGATACCCTTGACTCAATGAATGATATACAACTAGTAGTAAAGAATTTCACTCAATGGTTTGAGAGAAATTAATGATGTGAATAAAATGGTCCTCATCCAATTCAGTAATACTCAAAATCACTTGAACAACATAAAGTTCAACATATGCCACACTGATATCTTAGCACCAGAAAGAACAAAATTCCTTGGTATAGACTAAACTGCAAATTAACCCACAACAACCAAACTGATATCATATTTAAAAAATCTGAATAAACTGTATTATACTTTTACTAGTGTCAAATCTAACTTTCACAGAAACTACTACACGGCAATCAGCTGTAATATCATTACATGGGGTAGGTCAACTGGAGTATCACGAGTGTTCATTTTAAAAAAACGATTTATGAGACTCATTTTAGGCATGGACTTTAACGAATCTTCTAGAAATACTTTCAGACGGAATACTATTCTAACTTTCCCATGTATTTACCTATATAAGTTATTAATTTATACATTTAATAATAAGATAAATTTACAAAAAATAGGGATCTTCACGAGCAGGATACTAGATATAAACACAACTTTCACCTAAATCAACTTAACAAAACATGGTACACAAAATCTCCCCTGTATGCTGGCGGCTACTTTTATAACCTGCTTCCTGAATGCGTAAACTTAGCAAAAAACTGTAAAATAAATTAAATCTATCCTAAAGGAATTTTTTGCTTCATCACTGATTTTATTCACTAACTGAATACACTGATTCAATGTTAGGTCTACATCCAATGAGCTATAAACAATTCTGCACAGTTTCAACATGTTTCATATGTATTTTTTATTTTCAACAGGTTTTGTAAATATAGTTGGCATCCAACTTTTGAGATCAATTACTTACTGTCCTTACATGTAAATAACTTATTATTCAAACTTTTATATTTCTTTTTATATTTATCCTATCTTTGTGACTTATGTCATGTAAATGATTTATGGAGGTTAATAAAATTATCTATCTATCATTATGAACATTATGATGCACTGTTTGGAACCTTTGGTGTAGTAATGAATATTACTAGAGTTTTTTTTCAACACCAAATCGTTATTTTTAACACCTCAACACGTGTTTCGATCACTAAGTGATCATCACTTGGTGTTGGGAAAAAACTCCAGTAATATTTATAATGAACATTCCTTAAATCTTGATGAAACCTTTATACATTTTTTTTTGCAGTTTACACACTATTTGCTCTCTCCGAATATGTCGTTGTCCTTTCGAATATGGCGTTTCACATAACGGCTCATTATGATTTCCAAAATAAGGATTTAGTTGTCTACAAACACGGCGTCGCCCTAACGGAGAGATAATATTTGGTTATATAGCTAGTCATTTAATTTTCAGTTTCATAATTTACTTCCAGAAAATTGGATGGTACAATTTATCATTGATAACAATTACAAATTATGTGGTGTGCTTGTCCACTTCTAAATTGAAATAAACGATTTTGATAAAAAAACTCAATACAAATTTTTATTACTTGTATTTGAATTTTACCCCAATTCACTTTGTGAGAGATGTAAATATGTAGTTTAGTATTTATTTGTTACAAATTTTATCAGAATGTGATAATTATAGTGAAAACTTCATAAGTACCCTTCTAAAAGTGTGATTGTTTATATTTGACATTGCAGCATTTTGAATGCTATTGTCGATCACTTTCTGTTGATCCACTGGAGATTTTTGAATGCCGCAATGCTGTTTATTGCAGTTTTCTATAAAACTGATTTTATTGTATTGTACAGACTGTTTTGTGTTTGAAATCAAGTAATGTTTCTTACTAAAAAATACATTTCCGAAAGAGTTTAGTTAACTAGCCGATGGGAACTAATACCCAGTTTGAGGGTATTTCTGATTTGTAAATAACATATCTAATTCCAAAAAAATTTTAGACATTTTTACTTTCAGACGTTTTCTACTATCAACTAAAAAATAATTTCGATTAGTTTGTTAGTCAGAATACTTATTTTTATTTGAAGTTTGAAAATAATAATACGAAAAGTTTACTCAATTTACCAGGTCTTTGAGAGGTATGTTAGGTCATAGCTTGTTTTCTGCTGCTATTTTGCTAGGGCAAGATTCATACAATAAGACTCAATATTTTCAACTAGTTTTTGTGAGGGGAAACATTTTGAATTACTTTTTTTATTTTCATTCACAAGTAGAAGTATTATTTCTTATATTATTTCATAAATTTTATATCATTCTATATATCCTCCATTATAATGATGTTTTTTGATAAACTTTCAATTTTCTTTGTAGTGAATGGGTTCGACTGATATGTTTTTATTCGAAATCTACCGTTATTCATAACTTATATTCAGCTATATTTCTATTTAGATTTCCTTTCTACTAACTAATTCAATTGCCTCTCTACGTAGACAAAAACTTTTGGATAGTCAAATAATTCTGAGCTTGAGTTTTTGACATTTTCAGTAATTTCGTTGTACTTTCATTAATTATAAGTTAACGAATAAATATCAAAAATGAGATGTCCATGCAGACAAGTTTGAAATAAAAAATCTAAGAATTAATGGCTGATTGTCATTCCTCAATCTCTGTTAGAAAAATAACTTCTCTGTAACAAATTTTGCCAAATAAATATTTGGAGAAATAGAAAACAAATGTCCGAAATATTCTTCAACTGTTTTCATATATGAATTCCCATTCTATATCTAGTCAGTTTTTATCAAGTTGTTACTGTGTTCAGTATCCGTTTCAAATATCGGACAGCCTGTATAAACTCATATCTATTTGTATTCATATACTTACTGACTTTCCTGTCTGATGAAGAATTTTAGCGAATTTCTTTAATTTATCCAATACTAAATTTTACATGGAAATGAGAGTTAATTTAATTCGCATTCTTTAGTCGAACAGGGAAGAACATAATTAATGTAAATTCGTGTTGCACAATTTAATGCATATATTTGCACCAATTCATTTGTATTGAAAATGGTGAAAAGAAAAGTTAAATGCACCAAATATTTTTTATTAATATATTGTCAAAGGAAATTTAAGTGGATGTGGATACTAATAATTTTTTATAGTTCTGGAAAGACTATTTGGTAATATTGTATTTTGGTTGTGGGCCATTTCAAAGAAAGGTGTACATACTATGTTCCAGTATATGGATGTAAGTAGAGAAATGAATAAAAAGCTGAAGTACACGACCTGAGTAATCAGTTGAGTTGAAGAAAAACGAGAAAACGAGTGTTTTAATGTCAGAAAATTAGTTGTGGAAAAAATTATATAAACCATAAAAATAAAAAATCGAAAGGTAATATATGTAAAGAACAAATTATTTTTAGCTATACAAGGTACAGCACGATTACCGTCAGTTAGACGTATTTTGGGAAATCATAGAATTTCCATATCTTGAAAATGCGCATATATATTTTTTTCAATCCTCTTTATTTATTGAAAATAATGGCGTCTTTCCAACACATCCGGTTATACCGGAATCTGGTTACAACTTCCTTAATTCAAACGTAACACTCTGTATATTTTAACATTTTTGAATACCTGACATAATTCTAATGTGAATTTATGCAATACAACCTATACCAAAAGTGAACCATTCTCAAGATATTCATTTATTTACCTAAAGAAACTAGGTATTCTGCTCTCTAATTGTTATCCCATGAAATTCAAAAATTTGATGGAGTACATATATAAACTATGATTGGTTCATTAAAATACCTAATTTCATGGGCTTGTACAGGTAACAATTCCAAAATGTTATACAAATTGTTGGGAATCAATGACTAATTTTGAAGATATAAAAATGGGTTGATACTCAAATTTTTCAAATGAAACGCCCTGTATTTTAAAATAATTAGTAATTTAAGATAGATATGACATTTCGAGATGATTTTGACTCATTTTCATGAAACATTCCCTATATCAAAAATCAACCGTTCATTAGATATTTCAGTTGTTCACCACAAAACTACGGTTTTTTTCCTCTCTGTGCAAGATCTCAGCTTGGGACCACTCGATGTTGTGTTGATGAGTCCAAACATGGTTTGCTATTCCTGATTTGCTGGTTTCCCCTCGCTGTGTGTTTTTCTTGTGTTCGGCAATGCGAACATTCAATGGCCTCTTAGTTTCACCAATATAGGATTTTCCGCACTCACATGGTATCCGGAAAATGCAATTCTTGGAGTCGCAGTACGCGTTTGGTGGCCTAGTTTTCGTGAGACTGCTACGGATAGTGTTGCCGGATCTGAAACAAGTTCTAATGTTGTACTTGGAACCAATTCTTCTTATCCTCTCCGATAATCCTCTGATGTAGGGAAGTGCAAGCACTGGTTGTGACGGCTTCTCTTCCTTGCGAGGCTCCTGCTGTCTTTTAGCCGAGGTCTTTTCTACCATCGCTTTGGAGTAGCCATTCCGTTGAAGATCATTTTTGATGATGTC